GGGTAGTCTGCTCACGGAGATATTTTCTGTATTTGGAATGAAGGGAATCTAAAATATTTTACTGTGGCAACTTATGACTTAAATCTTCAGAGATCAAACAATTCCAGAGTGAAGCTGGAAATTTACATAGTAGTAAGATTCTTGAAAAACAAATTCAATCACTTTAACATCCAAATTGAGTTTGAATATATCCAAGTAATCCTCAGTTAAAAGTCAAACACTGGGGTTCCTGAGTGGCTCAGTTGGTCAAGCGTTGGACTTTCAAACTTTGGCTGAGGTGTTGATCTCATGGTTCTTGAGTTCCTGCTCCAAGTCGGGCTGGCTCTGCGCTGACAGCTCAGAGTTTGGAGCCTGCTTTGGATTCTGTGTGTGTCTCTCTCTCTGTCCCTCCCTCAAAAATAAACATTAAACATTTTTTTAATTAAAAAAAAAGTCAAACACTATTTTTTGTTTAAGATTATATGGGTTAAGTTCAAGTCAAAAGCTATAGAAACCTAAAAAAGTCAATAGCTTTGTTACCGTACCTCAAAATTCATTTTAATGGTTTATCCAATTCAATCACTAGCTATAGTCTGTAGTGTTAACTAGAGAGTGTTTGCCTATTCTTCATATCAAATCCACACCCATATGATAAATATTTGCCACAAGTGAGGAATGACTTCACAAATATTACATGCAATAGATACATCATGGACAGTTTATATGGATATATGTCTTAATATTTTTAAATTCACAGAAATGGATAAACAGCCCTTACTGAGTTTGTCAATCTCAACCCTATAGAAACTAGTCTGACAAAAATATTTAGTGTTTTGTCAAGCACAGCATGTGCAATTAAAACAAACAAACAAACAAACAAACAAACATAACATGACATACAGAGAATAGTATCTGCCTTCACTAAGCTTAATATTTAGCAGGAAAAACAATGTATGGACATAATTACAAATACTAATTTATCACCATTATAATCATTGTCATTATATGTGAGTGTCCGCCTGAGTATTTTAGAAAGCTTCTAATCTTTGGTTTGTTTTCATTAGAAGCTTGCTCAGATATTTGAATTTTAATCAGCAGGTACATGTATGTGGTTTTCTGTCTCTTAGCATTTCACAATTCACAAGCACAAAAGCAGTGTAGAAGGGGAAACGGATAGAGACACACATCTAAAAATAGAAGTGATAACAGACAACTGAGCTCAAGGAAGAAAACAAGATTAAAAGGTATACAGACATATAAATGTGGCTTAGCTCCATATTCTGTGTTCTTCAAACTTTTACCTTTAGGCATAAAATTCATTCTTCAAAGAAATCCTATTTGGAAGTTAAAAAACAAAACCTATAAATTTATGGCTATAAAAAAGAAAACTATACATTTAGAAACCTATACTTTTATGAGGATAGAAGATGAACTGGGAGCATGTTTTTCTTTATAAGATCTTGAATTTTTTTAATATTCAGTGTCCCCTCATTAACTGAAAGTATCTAGATTTTACTAAAATTTTGGAACCGTATGCCAAGCCTCAAAAAAAAATGTCACTACTGTAAGCTTAGTGGAGAAGTATAATTTCATCTTCTATGTCATATGTAGCATTATTTACATAAAGCATTTGCTTTTTTATAGAAATATTCTAATTCAAATCCCATGAAAAGAAGATTGAAGTGGTATACAAGTATTTGATAATTCAAAGCTGTCTTGCCTTAAGAAATCACCAAACACCAAATGAGGAAAAGGTAGCAGCCTTGGAATTTTGTGAGTTCATATTCAAATATTAAACCTTTGTTGCAATTATTAATATTACGTTGCCAATAATATTTAGGGAAGGAAGACTAAATAAAAGAAGAGCGCATTCTTTTGGTATTTACTGGTTATTCATCTGTCATTTAACTCAAAAGCTCCAATACAAATGAGAAAACTGAGACTCAGATTGTATGACACTCCTAGTCTCATATCTCATACATCTAGTACATTTTGGACTAAGAATTCAAATCCTAGATATTCTAACATCAAGTGGGGTGCTCATCATAGGATAATGCTGGTCTTACAGAGGAGACAAAATACATGAGCCACATGTTACTGGAATATCTCATTTATTCCAGGATATACGTAAAGGAGAAAAGAGAGCAGATGATTACTGTTAAAATGTATTGAGAGCTTAACTTGTTTAGACAATATAGTAAATATTTTACTTGCATTAGTTCAATTTATTTTCACAACCAGTTTGTAATGTTGTTGCTATTTCTCTGAGTATTACATACTGGAAAGTGAAGGTAAGGGGCTGAAGTTACTTCACTAAAGTCACAGAGCAGACAAGCTGTGGAACCAGAAGTCAAGGCCTGGTAGACGCAAGTCAAGTGCTAAGCACAGGTCTTACTACTAGGCTATACTGTACCCCTGGTCTTAAAGAAAAAAGAGACTGAACTTTCAGATTTGTTGATAATTGCAGGAAATTATTTCGATGGATCCAGGCATTATTGAACACCAGACTCTTCAATGAGACCTATTCCAAGCATGCATTACATGGCTGCTTTCTTTTTTGTTCAATTGACTTTATTCATATAATCAAAGATTATTCATCATGCTAAGTGCAAGCAGCATGGGGCACTAGTTTAGGATAAGAGGATTCTAAAGGCTCATGCCTTTCTTTTCTCTCTATCTCTTCTCTTACAGAAAAATAATAATTTATCACAAGGATTCTGCTGAGCAATTTATAACTTTGCCTGCTCTGAGCGGGAAAATATACTCAATGGTAACTTTTAATCAAATGATTTATTTATGTAGTCAGTCAATTAGCTAAGCACATAGTTCCTCTAAAGCAGTGTTTCTCGGGCTTTATTTGAATTATGTATCATTGGTCAAGATTTCTCTGCGCTCTACATTCCCATAGTTTACATAATGAGAATAACCATAATTTTTCCAGCTATAAAATGATATTCAAATATGGGATATGGTATTTAAAATTTATATATGTAATTCTACCCTGCTCCACTTCAGAATTTCCACTGTCTTATTTTATTCTTTCCCTATGTCTTTGAGGATTCTTGTTGGAACACTAGAACATTCCTTGTAAGTGACATTGTTACTGTAGCTCTTTCCCCACCTCTCAGGACCAGATTCTCTGTCTTCCCTTAACTCTGCCCTCTATACCTACTCTTGAGGTGATGAATCTTTTTAAAGTCCTCCAGCATTTAAACATTTTGCTCACAGAGAGCTTGTATTTCTATAATTTTATTCTGTCCTCTGATGGATAGCATTGAAAAAAGTTGTCTAGTTCATTAGGGTATGGGATGTGGGTGAGACAGGCAATGAAAACAGAGCTCAAGTAGTTGGACCCCATCCACTTTGCTAGTCTTTCTCCAATAAAATTATCAATTAGGCTTATTGATTCTAAACATGTATTTTCACATATGTTTTCAAGAGACAGCCCCCCCGCCAAAAAAAGCAAACAAATAAAACTAATTTCCTCTGTCTGCCTTGTGAAAAAAAGAAACTTTTCTAAACTTCAGTTTTGCAAGTAGTATTCTGTACAAATAAACATTCATGACTGTGGTTTTGTGCTTAAGAGGTTCTGTCAGTATTCAGGGAATGTTCATGGATGCTAGGATGACCATCTATAAAGCAAAGTAGGGGTCCTGAATGCCATTTCCATAGCCAAGATGCATGAAAAAGGCCCAGAATGGGGTGAAATGGCACATTCCTGTCAGGGGGGAAGGGAAGTGTGACAAAGACGTCAACTTATGGGATGGATATCAGAGGCATTGTGGGAATTTCTGCCATAGGGAAAAGGATGGGTAAGGTGGCTGAGAGAAAAGACCAGCAGAGGTGTGGACAGGTCAGAGATGCATGGGGCAACATCTCATGAAGGGGAATGTGGTCATTCTGATGGATAGAGCAAAGAAACATATGGCTGTCCATTGCTGTGTGAGATACAAGATTTGAAAATTAACTAGAAGTGGCCACAGGAGGTGATCAAAACACACTTCTTCATTCATCATTGTTTTTCTTTCCTCTAAGTTTTATTTAAATTCCAGTTAGTTAATATGGACTGTAATATTATTTCAGGTGTATGATATAGTGATTCATCACTTACATACATCACCCAGTGCTCATCACAAGTGCCCTCCTTAATACCCATTACCTATTCAATGCATCTGCCCATTCATCTCCCCTCCAACAACCTTCAGTTTGTTCTCTATAGTTGCGAGTCTGTTTCTTGGTTTACCTCTCTCTTTTCTTCCCTCTGTGTTCATTTGTTTTGTTTTCTTAAAGTCCACACGTACTCATATAGTTCTGAGGCTGGTCCAAGTTCTAGTTACTTACTGCTTGAAACAATTTTTTTGTCCTCTCTAAACTTCAAGTTTCTTTTTTAAATTTGTGAAATGAGGATTATAAAACCTATTTCAGGGTTGCCTGAGTGACTCAGTCGGTTGAACGTCTGATGCTTGATTTTAGCTCAGGTCATGATCTCACAGTTTGTGGGACCAATCCCTGCATCAGGCTCTGTACTGACAGCGTGGAGCCTGCTTGGGATTCTCTCTCTTTCCCTCTCTCTCTCTACCCCTCCCTTGCTCATGCTCTTTCCCTTTCAAAATAAATAAATAAACATTTTAAAAAGCCTATTTGTAGGATTAATGAGATAAATTAATTTAAATGGTATATAAACATTCCTTACTAGTCCAAGGGAATTAACAATTCAGTGCTAGCTATTTTTATAATTAAATGAAGACGTTACCTAGAGAACGTGGCCACAGGAAAGGTGTCAGAGGATGAGAAGGGAGGGAAGCCCTTAGGTATCACACCCTGAGCAAACAGGGAATAAACCTAAAGAAAGAACATTATCTTAATATATGCTAGTGGATGCTCATATGGTAAGAAATGTACTGTTAAACATAATATTTTTCAGCACATCCTTTATGTAAAGCACTGCCCTGAAGTTTCAGCCATTAACATGTTTAATCTTAACCAACGAGATGTATTCTATTAACATTCTTATTTCATAGGAGAAGAAACTAATGAAGGAAGAGATTAAGAAGTAGCCCCCAAGGTCACTGAGGTAAGCAGAGGAAAATTTGGAGGGAAGGAATCCTCATGAGAGAGTCTACATCTTAATCAGCTTGAAATCCTGCCTCTCAGGATAAGCTATGGGGATAAATGTATCAGAGTTATACACGCAAACCATTGAATTAAGGTTGTTTTATATTAGTTAAATGTATGAATTCCTGATGTCAACAACATATCTATATTTCAGTTATCCTACAAAATGCTGGGAGGTGGCAGGGGGAATACAGCCAAATGTAATATTCTACTTCTCATTCAACATTAATATCTCTATAAATTGCATCACTGCCCCTGTAGTTGTGAAGTCTCAAATCTAGAAGCCATCTTTAATTCCTCACTTTGTCTCACCCTCTCCATTCAATAATCCTAATGATTCTTCCCAGCACTACATCCCAAGTCAATATATATTTTTGATCCAATATGCCCACCTTAGGCCAAGCCACCATCATTTTTCATGCTCACAAATGTAACTCTTCTCAGCTAGTTTCCCTGCCACAATTCATTCTCCTCACAGCAGCCACAATGATCTCTACCCACCCCAGTACCATCTCCTACCACTCTTCTCCTTCCCTCTATATTTTACCACACTGGCTCTTTTATGGTCCTTAAAACATAGCTCATTTCCACTTTTGTGCTTGAACTTTACATCACTAGTGTCTTTCTTGTCATTAAGTTTTCAGGTTAAATGTCACCGTCTCTAAAAAGAACTCTCGTGACCACTCAATCTGAAGTAGTGTTATAAATGAAAATTTCATTTAAAAATTACCCAGAGAGTTGTAAGAATATACCAATGAAAATGTTTCCATACTAAGGGGTTGTTAATTTTTTAGGTGGGCTACAAGTATTAAAACAGGAAAGGATTTAACTGTAAATCAAGTGGCTATTGGGTTAGTTGAGAAAAATTTTGCCAACACTCTCGTATGTTTGAGGTTTACTGTACTTCTTGAACTTTAAATCTGTTTAGAAGTCAGAAAATTATTCAGGATCAGTCCTGAGCATGGACACATTGCTCGATTTGGTTTCTGCAGTGAGAGGTACTCATCTTAAGCCTTGAATTTAGAGAGGTGCTTTAGTGCTTTGAAAAGGATAACAAAAATTGCTTTACCTCAAAAATAAATGCTTCTCTTTGCTTAGCTGTCTCCAGAGCCCTCACAGGAGTTAATTAGACTAAAGAGATAATTAGGGTTTAGGAAGGGAAAATAGAAATTAAATGACTGGCAGATAAGGAGTTTTGTGGAGGTTTTCTCTCTCTGTCTCTCTCTCTCTTTCTTTTTTCTCCCTTCCTTCCTTTATGCCTCCCTTCCTCCCTGCCTGCTTTTCTGTCTCTCTTTTCTTTCTTTCTTTTCTTCCTTCCTTCCTTCTTTCCTCCCTCCCTCCCTCCCTCTCTTTCTTTCTTTCTTTCTTTCTTTCTTTCTCTCTTTCTTTCCCTCTTTCTTCCTCCCTCCCCGCCCCCAACTCTCTCTCTCTCTCTCTCTCTCTCTCTCTCTCTCTCTCTCTTTCTTGGTAGCCTCCGAAGATAGAAAGCACAAGAAGGTCTTGGTACTCTGTTCATATGTTTGTTATTAAAGAGTTGAAATTTGCTGAAGAAGGTTATTTAGCAGCTCAGCCTTCTAATTTCCTTTGGTTTGGAAATAATAGGGACAGACATAAGACTGGATTATCCTGTTTTGGGGGAAGGATATAGCATTTCATCCTCTCAGGGAAACATCTCTTCTCATTCACAGCAGTAACAATCTCTCCAATTTACTGAATACTCTCTCTACATCAGAACTTCGCCAAGCTCTTTGCAAAGCCTGTTAGATATATTGGCTTTAATTCAATGCTCACAATTATATGGAGTTGATATTTATCATCTGCATTTTATAAGCCCCCAAACCAAGACTTAAATATCTTTTATAACTTGCCCCAAAGCACTCAGCTAATACAAGAATGTTGCAGACTGAATCCATTTTATCTGTACTTGAGGCACTTGGTGTAACCATTTCACTACATTGCTTCATGTCTATGTCAATCCAGTGTATTAATTAAAGTTCCCACAGTTTATTTTTCTAGATTACAAGCATATTTGTATGAGAGGCAGGGGAGAACAAAGATCATGCTCCAAAACACTGAATAGCCTTGAGAACATGAGGGGGTATTTGTGGTCATTACATGGGATAACTCCTATCCTTGTGCACATCCTTGCATGTAACATCATAACAACTAACTACAACAGACTGGACAGAGCCATTTCCCATAAATCAGCTGACTTCTCTATTCTTTCCTGTGTATGTGTGTGTGTGTGTGTGTGTGTGTACATGTACCTGGGTGTATAAATTTAATTACACTAATTGCCATTTAAATCTGAGTGGAAAATAGCAGGCATTATGACACAACAAAAAAAGATGATGTTGGAGCCACACAAGGTTGGGACTCTACTCCATGACCTTAAAATGTGACCTTGCGTAAATCACTTCCCCTCCTAGAAGCACATCTCCTGAGGAGCACAATAGGAGGCTGGAGAAGATGACCACCAAAGCCACACTTTGGTTTTCAAAGTCTAGAGAGCATGAAGTGGGCAGGTGGTGTGCACGTAAGCTCCACTCCGCTCAGGCCCCAGGTCTTCCTCACCAGTCTCTTTGATCACTGGTTCAGCTGTGATCTTTATTTTCATCACATCTTTTATTTGCTCTTAAAGAACATGTTTGCTCTGATTCTTCCCCCTTCCATCTTCTTGTCTTACTAGTTTGAGTAAAACTAACTTCATTATTTTAGCTCTGTGAAAGTTTTGTCAGTCAATTGCAATCGATGTCATTTTTATAATAACCTTCTCTAAAGCTTGCTGCCACCCTTCTTTGGAGTTTCTTTAGTTGCTCCCCTTTGCTTTGGTTCTCCAGACACTTCTTTTGGGTCCCTTCTCTTCCTTCTGGAATGGCTGAGCCTTCCTCACTCCCCTTTACTCACTACTTTCTGCCTTCTCTTTTCATCCTTCAGACATCCTCACAAAGTGAAAAGCCTAGTTTGTTTTTGCCCCAGAGTTAATAGTCCATAAGTATTAAGAAACAGTAATCATATCTGACTGCTGTGTATATCTTTCTAAAAATTAATGTTTTGAGCTTTCCTAAGTTAGTGGATGTTCTCTTTAAAATGAGAAAGCAAAAACAAACCATACTCCATTATAAGGTTTTGGGTTTTTTAGTACCCTATGAGGGGGAAATATTTTATCTTAGGACTAAAGATGTAAATACTTTTGTAAATATGCTGCTCACAAGTTCGTTCATGATATAATTATCATAGATTTTAGAGAAAGAAAATCCTTAGTTCAAGTGTCAACTTCACTGTTCACTGTCTAAGACCTTGAACGAGTTATTGAACCTTTCTAAGGCTTTTATATTCATCCCTCTCAAGTGTTGATCCTAACCCACAAATTTCAAAAGATGTTAAGGAATGTAGTCCCAGGACTTCCAAGATAAGCCTGCTGGCTGAGAATAGGGGGAAAAAAAAGGAAACAGAAATAATATTTCAGTGGGCTAATTCTCTGGTGGTATTCTCAAAGAATCTGTAAGTCTACTCTTGAGACATTCTTCCTAGTCTGAAATTAAATCACTTTACAGGTATTTTACCACTGTATTGAGAGTGGATAAGAACTCTTTCACATATACCTAGGACTCCCCCCATTTATTTGATGATAAGTCATTTCACAATACATTATTTTAGAGGTGTCTAATGGTATGGTATGAATAGGTAAGAACCAAATAGCCAGGCACTGTTGAGATAAAATCAGGATACATGCAGTTGATTTTTTTTAACTTCATGAATTCTCTGGAATGTCTGCTTAATACCAGACCTTAATAGCTCTTGAGGTTGCAATGATGAATAATACAAATATCCTTCCCTCCTGGAGTTTACATTTAAGCTCTGCACTGGTGTAAAGGTCAAACCAGATCAGGATAGGTCACAATGCTTCCAGGTTCGTGCTTATAAACAAACAATTACCCATAAAGTGACTGAGCATGAACTTCAGGGATGCAGCCTTTCCAAGGCCCCAAAGGGGTACTGTTGCTGGGCTCACATGCTCATGTTATTTTTATTAAAGTTTTTTTATTTGGGATAATTGTAGATTCACATGCAGTTATAATAAATAACACAGAGAGAACCTGTGCTTCCTTCACCCAGTTTCCTTCCATGATAACATCTTGCAAAGCAATACAATACACTGATCTTATTCACGTTTCACCAGTTGTATGTGTATTCATGTGTGTGTGTGTGCGCACACGCTGAGTTCTATGCAATTCTATCACATATGTAGGTTTCCGTATTCCCTGTCACAGTCAAGGTGCACTTTGTAACAATACCCACTTCCCTTCTATACCCACTCCTGGGAACCGCTCATCTGTTCCGCATCTCTATTGCTATTTCAAGATTGTTATACAAATGGAACCATACAGAATGTTCCCTATGGGATCCACATTTTTTTTTTCTTTTTAAACTTAGCTTCATTCCCTCAGTATACATCTAAGTCAGTGCATCTTTCAACAGTTCATTGCTTCATATTGGTGAATGTTGTTGAGTTTTTGGTGTTCATCTTAATTAATTTTGTCCTGAATATGCACATGAAGTATTCTGGATCAGAGACAGATTAACATTATTCACTTAAAAATGAAACAATGATGTGGACACCACCCACCAATTCTTACCCCTGTAACAGCATGATAGAAGCAAGGTCGAAATTTGTATACATACAAACTCTAAAGTCTATGCCATTGAGGAAGGATGGAATAAAATAGATTTTCTGTGTGTGTGTGTGTGTGTGCGTGTGTGTGTGTGTGCGCGTGTGTGTGTGTGCGCGTGTACAAGAGAAAGAGACAGCTGACTCCCTCTTTCTTTTTTTTTTTTAAATTTTTTAAAATTTATTTTTGAAAGAGAGAGAGAGAGACAGAGCATGAGCGGGGGAGGAGCAGAGAGAGAGGGAGACACAGAATTCGAAGCAGGCTCCAGGCTCTATGCTGTCAGCACAGAGCCTGATGCGGGGCTT